CTGGAATTAGCTCAGTCGTGTCTGAAACCCTTTGAGGACAGTCCCTAGGTACCTGAGGTCTGCCACGTGAACAAGCTGTGAACCTTGGGCCAAGTGACCCCAGAACACTGGTCCCGGGTCTTATGTCTGGAAGCCACAAAAGGAGAATCTGTGTCCTTTCAGATTAAGAGCTTAAAACACCAACACAACTGTCTGTCATTCCCAGTTCTTGAGTCTCCAATGCTTTCCTCTGACACCTTCAGAACAAATCTGGGCTATCTTGGAGAGGTCCCCAAGCCTTGCCACAGAAAGCTTCCAAGGTTCTGGGCCCTGGAGTGGGGCTGCAGAGGTCCCCCGGGCACTGTTCCAAAGGCCATCTGGTGTGCACTCTTCTCTCCTACAATCTGAGCCACTGTGATAGATCCACCAAAGAACTTTCCAGATGCAAAAAACTAAGCCTAGTGAGTTTGCCTGGCCTTCCTCTTCGAGAGATTCTTCTGAGGAACTTCCAAAAGCTAGAAAACTCTCTGTACAGACCATGGCATGATGCAGGCACGTGGTTATTCTTATCTTCTTGCCTTTAGGCCAGTGCCGCCCAATGCTTTAAAACTGTCTAGTGGACACATAACACGTTAAAAAGAAAAATACAAGCCCAGTCCAGGTTTCCCATCCTGGCTGGTACAACCCTGTCACCTGAACCCCTGCTCTCCTCAGCTTCGTAAGCTGTTAAGGCCTGTGAGCTCTCAAGCTCACTCTCACCGCCTCACGCTTGCTCTTTGGTTGATTGGTTGCTTACTGAAGTCAGGCTCCCCAAGTTCAGGACTGTCTAGCTCAGTCCCCAGCGAATGAATGGTGCCTGGCATGGAGCAGTTTGAATCATTCACTGGAAACAAATTGAGTTGGTGAATGCATGGATGGATGGATGGATGGATGGATGGATGGATGGATGGATGGACGGATGGATAGATGGATGAATAGATGGCTGAACGTGCAGTGAGTGAACTAGTCGGGGTTGTTTAGACGTGCACGAACTATCAAGAAGTGGCTAGTGAGACCCGTGAGTTCCCACGGGATGGAGAGGGACCTTGGGATCTAAAACAATAGCCTGTGTTTTAACAGAGTTGTAGGATGGCTTTGGAACCCTCAGGTCCTCGGACGTTCCGGTCCTGCCTGCTGGCTGCCTCTGTCTGGTGAATTCCTGGCCCATCACCCTCACATGCTGCAGTGGGCCCTGGCTCACTGTACCTTCTTTGGCTGGGTCTCAAGTCACGAAGCAAGACAGCAGAGTCAGCATGTCTTCTCCCTGCCAGATGTCATTCCCACCCCTTGGTGGCTGGCTGGGGTCAGGTTGGGAGCAAAGTGGCCCACGGGGATGGGGGACAAGGCTTCCTTGGTGTCAGAACTCTAGTAGAAAAAGTGGGTGCGTTAGAACCTACCAGAAACTTTCTATGTCCCAGTCACAAAGAAGGCAAAGCAGACTAACCTTGGTCAGCACTAGACCACGGTTAGATGGCAGCTGTCCGTCAACCATAGAACGACGCCGGTTGTGAGGCTGTGCTCCGGGTGTCTCCAGGCACTGGGGTGTCGGTTGTGAGGCTGTGCTCCGGGTGTCTCCAGGCCCTGAGGTGTGCAGTGTTTATGCACACTCTCCAGCACACGTGAAAGATGCAGATACAGACGGACGGCTTTCCCAGCCCTGTCTCTCAGTGCCTGCACTGTACCCAGACCCCTGCCCAGGTTTTAAAGTCTCCAAACGGTTCCCATTGGCTCCCAGAGTTCGGAACTATGATGTGTTTTAGGGAATCTGGCACAGGTGAAAGTATGGGGAAAAGAAGGATTCTGGGCAGGACTCCTACTTTGAGTCATGAAGTTCCAGAAGGTCCCACAGTATACTGATGCGCAAACTCTCTTGGCACAAAAGAGGAAGGAAGGAAGAGAGGGAAAGGAGGCCAGCCATGTATTTTAAAATGCCAGAAGCATCAGATAACTGGAGGAAACATTGTAACAAAAGGTTATAGACTCACTATTTTCAGAGTGCTTTTGCAAATTCATAAGATGAGCACTAGGTCGAAAAACAGACTGCAGACAAGAAGGAACAACTCCGAAGGATAAACACAATGGGCTGATACACTTAGAAGAACTGTTCAGCCGGCAACAGTCATCGAATAAATGCAAATTACAACAACAAAGAGACGTTATCTTTTGCTTAGCTAATTGGTAGAGATTAAAGACGTGATAATGCCCCAAGATGGTGAGGGCGTGGAAAAAAAAATAAAAAACAGACCCTGTCATTCAGCGGAGGAATGTGGATCGGAGGAGCCTTTTCCAAGGGGGGCAATTTGGCAAAATAAAATGACTTTCACGGGAATCATTGCTAAGAAAATTGCACGGCCTTAGACACAGCACTCCCACTTTTCAGAAGATTGCCTTAGGAAACAATTGAGGATAGTAATAATAACAGCTAACCTTTATTCCGCGCCCTCTGCCTGCCAGGCTCTACATGCATTATCTCATACACTGCTCGCCGCCATCGTACAAGGCAGGAACTGTTCTTTATCGCCTGTGGTTTATGGATGAGAAAAACCGAAGCAGACAAATTAGGTCAACGACCTCAGCTAACAAGTGGCCAAATCTAGACTAGAACTCAGGCAGTATGTGTCCCTGGATGTGTGCAAAAGTGAAGCCACAGAGTGGGCCCTCAGGGGTTGATTTGTAATGGGAGCGTAGGGAAGGCATGCTAAGCACCTCCCAACAGCGGTAAGTTACATAAATTATGATACACCCACACAGGAATATTATGCAAGTGTGAAAAGTGATTCTGTGGAAAAATATTTGTGTGAATGCCAGGGAAATTTTTTGTATGCATGAAAGATCTCTAAAGGATATCAAAGAACTGATAAAATTAGTTATGCCCTGGCTATTCTGAGAAGCTAGAGAGGGAGATTTGTTTTATAAAATATATACCCTTCTTACCATTTGAATCATATAATGATATTATGTATTAAAATATATACATCTGTGCACATATACACATGTAAGTTATGACATAGAACTTTATTCTCCGGAAGTACTATTAAGGATCCCAAAGAAAATGTTTGAAAGCCCTTACGTAGTCAGACAAGGTAAATGAAGGCCCTTCCTGGACTGCATCCATCCATGTCTTCCCTGAACCAGCTTCATCAGGGAACCCTTTTCTTAGCAATGGTGTCTTCATCTATCCAGACACTGTACTCTCTGTGAGTTAGGTTTTGAAAATGCTGTTTTTTGATACTGAACACTGAGGTAAAGAAGTCTCATTGTTTCTTTAAATGAAAGAATCATGTTACTGGTCCCATTGTGTTTAAAAATAGTGCGTGTGTATGCATGCATGTGCGTGTATGTGAGCACGCATGTGTCCGCATGCGTGTGTGCATGTGAGTATGTGTATATATGCATGCGTGTGATTTCCAAGTACTGAAATAGTGGATGGTTTTGTTTGCTTCTGCCTACTCACTGGGTTTTGTCATTTTCTAAGCTGAACAAAATGACTTTCCCAGGTGTTTGTGCTTATACCTAGCCCGACGACACATTTTCAGAGAACGCATTCTTGCACTTTGAGTCTGGTCTCTGCACCTTGCTCTGATTTCCCTCCTACTTGTGAGCAAGCTTGGGGTAAGTTAGGAAGGAAAGTCTGCCTCTAGCAAGGCCTTTCTGTGCAGTCTCTAGTCCACTGTCAGGGCTCTGAGCCACAGTAAAAGAAAGGACTGGTGACTGATGGCGTAGACAGGGCCAGCAGGTCCCCAGGCAGTTCCTGACACTGGTGGACCCTCCCTTACGCTAATGGGAAAACTCAAACCCAGGTTCTGCATCCCTCAGTGAGAGACGAGGCTCCAAAAGCAGACACCAACCTGCCACCTGCCCGACACGCTGCAAACCAAAACACCCAGGCTTTGGCCTCAGCTCTGTGGTTGTGTGGTCTCGGTTGAGTTTCTGAACCTCTGAGTCAGCTCCACCCACACTGGAGTGTGACTCTTGCCACAAAGTTCAGGAATGAGTATACATGGAAAGTCACAAGTCCTAGGAAGGGCCATCTCAGTGCAAATCATTATGTGACCCAGCAGGTAGGCCAGCATATCTTCCCCTTCCCGGGAACAACGTCTCTCTGTCTCCGTGTGTGTGTGTGTGTGTGTGTGTGTGTGTGTGTGTGTGTGTGTGTTTAAAGGTGGCATGGAGTGACCCACAGAGATGACATATGGGAGTCTAGGTATGTGGGAACAACCTGGGGTTTCAGACACAGGGGAGAAAGCCTGGAGCTTCCTGCCCAGGCCTGGGCCCATGCCCACTGGCATAGCTGCCCCCCTTCACCTTTGACAGCCCACTGCTCTGGCTTGTGTTCCTTCAGCTCAGAGCTGCCTCTGCCTGCCTCACCTCCTCATTTCCTCCCACAGCCAATCCTTTCGCTCTTAGCTGCCTGAGACCTGTCCCCTGGCCTAGGATGAGGGCTGCTCCTCTGGGCTCTACCACCCATACTACAGTGGCAATGCCAGGTCACAGTGTCTGGAAGTGATAGCTAAGTCCACCACCTTGTCTTCCTGTACCTTCTGGGCCCCGGGGTCGGGGAGGGGTGAGAAAATGGAGAGAGGAGAGACAGGAGTCAGATCTCAAACACTGAGGTCATGATCTGAATTTGAACCTCAGCTCCATTACTGACCCTCAGGGAAGTGACTTCACTCTCCTAAGCCTCAGTTTCCCTGTCTATAAATGGGTTTAAACACCGCAGTGAAGTCATGGGGTGGTGAAGGTTTTACAAGCGAATGTGAAGCTCTTGGTACCCTCCCAAGGCCAGAGAAGTGCCCAGAAGTAGCAGGACCTTGTTCCCACTGAAGACTCTTAAGTGCGGATGGAGTTGGACTAAAGAAAAATGCCAGGAGAAGTGACTTCTAGTCTCCCCGGTTCCAGCCTCAAGATGGGGACTCTTACTGCTGGTGCCTGGCTCTGCTCCCACCACCCCCACACTGACCTACCTGCCTTGTACCCCACAGCTACCCGGCCCAAGCTGAAGAAGATGAAGAGCCAGACAGGCGAGGTGGGCGAGAAGCAGTCGCTGAAGTGCGAAGCAGCGGCGGGGAATCCCCAGCCCTCCTACCGCTGGTTCAAGGATGGCAAGGAGCTCAACCGGAGTCGTGATATTCGCATCAAGTACGGCAATGGCAGGTGAGCAGTACCTCCGTCCCACCAGCTCCAGAGTCACATCCCCAAGCCCAGCACAGAACCTAGTCAGGTCCCCCTCCGTGCCACGCCCAGTGCTTCCCTGACTGCTGAGCCCTTGGGACCAGGCCTGCCCTGGAATTGCAGACCAATGGACAAGGATGAGGCAATTCCCAGGGCTGGGGATGCAGCTCAGCCGATGAAGTGCTTAGCGTGCACAAAGCCTTGGGTTCAAACCTAGCACCACATAAAACCAGGCGTGGTGGCACAGGCCTTTGATCCCAGCACTTGGGAGGTGGAGTCAGGAAGATCAGAAGTTCAAGGTCATCTTCGGCTACCTAGCAAGTTGAGACCAGTTTTAGCTAGATGAGACCCTGTCTCACAAAAACCGAGTGAAGCAATTCACGTGTCTGAGAGACCCCAAATTTGGCAGTTTGAGGTGGAAGCCCCTGTTGGTGGAAAGTCTTTGGGGAGTCACATAAGACAAAAGGCTGGGGTCCTGACTTGACAAGTTGCCATTTGTGGAGAGCTTAGTAAGTGGGAAGAGACCACGGACTGACATCAGGGGGTCTGCCTGCACACTCTATGAGTCTTCAGGCTGGGAAAGATACTCACCACCATCCAGGCAAGGGGGCAGGGAGTGCTGGGAGAACCAGGACTCTAAGGCAGCTCCTACCTACCTGTCTGCCACTAAACGCACTTCAATCCGACTTTTCTCTGTGGGCTCTGGGGTCTAGGTAGACTAAGGAACCCCTCAAATCTTTTCCGCCCTCACTCCCCAGAGTAGCCTGCAACCACCCACTTCAGAGATATCCACAAAATGCAAACTAGGCTGTCTATTGCTTCAGAGAGCATCAACCTACCCACAACAGAAAGTATTAGGTACAGGCTCAGGCTGCCCCTATCACCCTCAGAGACCTGCAACCTGAGTGGAGAAGTGGGGTTCAAGGAGCTTGGCTTGCCTCCCTTCACCTTCCAAGACTTGAACCAAAGGAAAACCAGTTACTCGAGACAAAGACAGAAAGTGGCCCAGGCAAAGAGCCATGCAGGACGGGTTTAGATAAAAGGTCTGTGGCTACAAATAAGAAAGCTAACTCCTGAGGGAGTTACAGTCGTTAGAAAGGTGGGGAGGTTTGGGGTAGCGTCCCTCTGTGTCCCTTCTCTATAACACTGGCAAGAAATTCAGCCTAACCAACCAGGTACCCCCACTCCTCCTCACCACCCCACAATAGTCTTGGTACCAGCCTAGAAGAACTAGTAGACAGGCCTCACGGAGCTAGGGCTGGAGCAGGCACCTCCCCCCACCCCCAGCTTCTCCTTGAGTCTACAAAGCCAGAGAAGGTGCTGGCCCTTGACCTCTTGCACTGCTCCCAACATGGCACTCAACTGCCCATCCCAGTCTCACCAGGCCTGGCACCACACTGCCTCATACCCTGCCTTGATACACACACACACTCACTCACTCGCACACTCACGTACTCATGCCACTTACACACATGCACATTCATACACTCATCCCTGGCTACTGCCTCCTCCCCACTTCCAGCTATTGCCTGTCTCCCTTGTTCCTTCCACCTCTGTGCGAGTCACCTCTCAGGCCCCTGCTCCACACCTCTTATCCTCTGGCCATACTGCCTTCCCCAAGGCAGCCAGTTGAGCACAGCCCAGCCCCTCCACCCCATGACCTCTGGGCTCCCAAGTCTGGGCCTCCCAGCTGTGCTTGGCACAGTGACACCGGCTGCCTCTCCCTGTGGCCCTCCTATGAGTCAGACCTCCCTGATTCCACTGGTGCTGGGCTTTCCCGCATCTTAGCCTTCACTGCTCTCTCCCTCGGTGCCAGTGGGTGATGCCCCCCTCTTATGGTTCTGCCCCTCTGAGACCCCAGGCCTCCAGCTGTAGGCATGGTGGTAGTTTCACCCAAGTTCCACATTGTGCAGCCAGCTGAGCCCCAAACACTACTCCTAAGGGGTCTCGGACTCTGCTCCCAACCAGCCCCTCCGCCCCACCCTCACTAAGCCAGCTGCTTGTTGTCCAGCTCCTCTGCTGCGCACACCTGGCCCCCCCAGCACCCGCCCCTTGCCACCTCTGCAGGTGGACCTGACTTTCCTGCCCTAAATGTTTCTCACCTTCTCCTCTCCTAGCTTCTCATCCTCTCCTGCCTTACTCTCAGACACCTCTGGGCCCCAGGCCCCTTTGTGAATTAATTGTTGCAGCTAACCTGTGGGTATAGAGTACTGGCTGTGTGTCACGCACTCTGCTAGAGGTTCGGGAGACACTGGTGAATAAGACAGCTGTGGCCCCTGCCTTCATGCCGCGCTGGGCCAATTTCCAGCATAGAATCTGGTATAATAATAATAATAATATATTATATGTAATATTATATAGAATATATATTAATATAATATGTTATATTGTATTACATATAATTATTATATATAATAATAGCTTCCACCCATTTTTCAGAAAAAAAAAGTTGATCAGTCTTACACCCTGTTTGGCTTATGATTTAGTTCTTGGTCCCCTACAAATAATCCTTTCCGATCCAGACCCCCCACGAGATCATCCCTTCCTTATCTGACGGCCTTGGGGTCCTCCCTCCTTGCTGGCCTAAACATCACACCACCCTGCCAATCCGTCCCAACTAGAGGCCCAATACCTGGTCTTTCCTTTCACAACCCTGGACTTGGGCCCAGGCTGTCCCCTGTACTAGGAAAGTTGTTGCCCCTTTTGTCCCTGGCACAGCCCGCCAAGGCCCAGCATGAACGCTGTGGGAATATCTATCTGCCCGAGCCCTCCAGTCAGCTCATGGTCCCTAAAAGTACTTTAGACAGTTCATCTCACCACTGAGCAATCCATCACTGCTCCTCATGGGAGCGTCTGCCCCACATCCCCCTGCTCCCCTATAAGCTTAAGCCTGGAAACAGAGATCCACAGTCAGTGTGAGACTGAGAAGAACCTTCCAGGGCTGGCCCTCCTCTCCTGCGTGTGAGGTCGTCCCTCAAGAGGCTGAACAGGGGCCCCTATGGATGGTCCACCCTTCTAAACAACTTACTTCCTGGTAGGGCCTCAGATTCATCTGACACATGGGTGACTTAATCCAGAGACAAGGCCTAGTCAGGTCTTTCCCTGGGTGGCAGGCATGGCCCCTCCCCCACATGCTGCCTTCTGAAATGGCCATCCCTGGTCCCACCTGTCCTGTTAGCTGTGGAGGAGGAGGCCATGACAGGGAACTTCTCATTTCCTGTAACCAAAGTGACTTCAAGAGAACTACCCACTCTCTTACTGAGTGAGATGCTCACTAGCAAGGGAGCCAGAACCACGCACAGAGCTAGGAGTCGCCTCTCTGAGGAACCTTTCTCTCCTTCCTCCCTGAGTTCCTCATGCTCTACCTGCCCGGGCTACATCCAACGTTGGCATCTCTGTTTGCTGGCAGAGACCGTCTTCCCGACAGGGGCTGACTGTCTCTGTGCCCGCCAAACTGCATTGTCATCCAGGCCTTCCCGAGCCAGGAGAACACTTGCCCCCCGAGCCCAGGGCACGGGCCCTCCCCTGCAGAACCGCCTGTTCCCTTATTTATGAGGGGCAGGCTGGGACAGGTCCCTCAGGCAGGCAGGGGAGGTAGGCACTGAGGAAAGTGTGGGGCTGCCCAGATCCTGTCCTTGCCAGCAGAGAACCGGCTAGGGAGGGTAGGACAGCTCCCTTTGCAGGGGCAGACCTGGGTCAGCAAATTGATGGGGTGGCAGGAGTGTACACCTTGCCTGCCTTCCAGGAAGGCAAGAAGAGAGCCCTGGATCCTAGGGACTCCAGATGGACCTGTGGATGAGGAAAGACCCAGCAACTTTAGGGCCTGAGAGCCCAGGGCCACTCCCAGCTGCAGCTCTGGATCCCGTTTCCCTGAGACCTCTGGGGCCCCCGTGGATCAAGATGCCTATACCTACTGCACCTGAGAGTTGTCTCCTCTTTCTTGTCCAAAAGGGGAACCTTTGCCAAGCCCTGATGTTCGTTGAGCCTGGTCTTATGTGCCCTTGGGTGGGAGTCCTTTCCCCAAGTCTGTACTGCTGCTTAGATGTTCTGCCTTGTCCTGCTACAAATGGCATCGTATGAGAAAAGCTCCTTTTAGTGCAGCTGTGGGTGACCATGAAGATCTTGCTGGCTCTAGGTCCCCTGTGCACAAACTCTTCTGCCCTCAGCTAACACCATCTCCCACCCCCGTCTATCCAGCTTGCAGGAAAATGAGGAGAGCTTTGTCCCCGAGAAGTGGGATGCTGTGGTCATCTAATTAGGTTGAGCTGGGAAGCAGTTACTCGCTTGGTCAGAGGGGCCTCGCGAGCTCTGTTTAATGACGGAAACTAGTTGATAGAGGAGGGCCGTGGGCAGGCACGCGCCCAAGGAGAAACCCAGCGCGAACCAGGAATGGTAGGGCATATAGTTAAGCCACCGTCATCTCACTGGCGAGGCCAGCGCCACTGCAGTAAGGTCCATCAGTCTGCAGCAACCTCAAGGGAATGTGGGAATGAGATGCTTGAGAAGAGGCCAATTCCAAAACCAAGAGGGAGGTGCTCTCTGCTCAACTCTCCCACCATTCCTTCACCATATCCTGTCCCCCATCCCCACACCAATCCTTATCCCAATAGTATCATGGCTCTCTTTTGCATCCCTGGGGCTTAGACAGAACAGTGGCAGCCTGGCTATACCCCGCACACATTCCAGCCAGCTGTGCACATGCAAGGAATCTGGTTTTTGACCCCTCACTAAAAAGAAGAGGAAGTCACAGCATGGCACACTATGTCCTTTCTCAGGTTCCTAGCTTTATCCTGAGCACTTTCTGGACCCCAAAGAGCATCATCAATTTCAGGAAGGGTTGGGAGCTGTGAGCAGAGCCTTGCAGAACCAAGGCAGGGAAGCCTCCAGGAGGAAGCAAGGTTTAGTCGGTTTTTCAGAAAGCAGACAAAGCCAGATGCTCTGGAATCACAGCTTGGGGGAGGAGCTGCTAGGACCTTGCCTGAGACCACTCAAGTGAGAGACTGGAGGAAGAGGCTAGCCCTAGCTTCTGGTGTGTTCTCTGACCTCAGCTTCTGGTCCACCTCTGCTCTGTCTTGCTGAGTGTCTACCCGCAATCCAAGAGTTTGCCCGTACATTAGAAGAGAATACCCTAATTAGCCCTAAGGCTCTAGACCCTAGAGTACATGGTTTCCAGCATTTGGGAGGTGCTTGCTACACATCTGAGGATGAAGTTAAACAAAAGCCTCTTGGAGAGTCTACAAAGTGCCTCTCAATGGCAAGCCTGAGTCAACAGTAGGAGAAAGACGTGGAGTGGTACCATGGATTGATACAATTGCCATGAAGCTATCAGATAGATGCTCTCCCTGGTGTCCGAGAGTCAGAGTGCATGCTGCTGCTCTAGGAGAGCATCCAGATGGGCTCACTTATAAACAGTAGGGATGTGTTTAGCCCATAGATATAGAGGCTGGGAATTCTAAAATCAAAGGTATGAGGGCCTTCTCTAAACGTGTCTTCTTGACATGTTAGTACTATTGCAGTGGGGACACCAGTGGACTTCGGGAAACATGTTCAAACCATAACCCTGAATAGTGACAATCTCCTACTTCTATGGATGGCAAAGGCAACTGGGAATGAGAGATGTGGCCACATGATTTCCCTAAGGGCCCTGGCATTCTTCCCCCAAGAAAAAGTGGTACAGAGAAACCCAGCCCCAAGAAAAAAGATGTGAGAATTCATAGTTAGAACATGTGTGCTTTGGCTGGATGTGTTGTCCTGAGGGTTCAAGTCTCCTCCTGTTCCAGGGTTCAGTGTATCACCTGCACTCCAGAAAAAAATAAACGGTCTGAGGGACTTTCTTCTCGCCCAGCCTATACAGCCACGGTGGTTCTTTGAAGTGACCACTCAGTGACCACTGATGAGGTCCACCAGCCCTGGCTCACACCTCTCTCCCTCTTGCCTCTCCCAAACACAGAAAGAACTCCCGATTGCAGTTCAACAAAGTGAAGGTGGAGGATGCGGGGGAGTATGTCTGCGAGGCGGAGAACATCCTTGGGAAGGACACCGTGCGGGGCCGGCTCCACGTTAACAGCGGTAGGTGGCTTTCGAGAAAGGGAAGGGTCCCGGATGGTGGAGGGTTGGCAGAGCCGATGGGCTGCCCCCTCAGGAGACCGGCACATGATCTGTCTTACGCTCAACTCCCCTCCCTCCTGCTGCTGCATATCAACCCCAAGATCTCAGCCAATTCAGAGAAATGCAGTCAAAGCATAAATGTTTAGTTTTGTTATCTGGGCCTGGAAGAGCCGCCAGCTCTCATTTTAAATACCCTGAAAACTAAATATTTTGAAATCAAGAGGTGGGGGTGAGGGGAAGGATATTTTTAGAAGGCAATTACGGGAGGCTGGGCTGTCAGGAGCAAGACTGGAGAGAGACGGGCCTGGGGTGGGTGTGAGCTGCCTGTCTGTTGCCAGCTGCATCGTTGGGCACCTGAGCCAGGCCTCGGGGAGGCTTGAGTACCTGGGGCCTGTGGGCAGCCTCCATTTAAGGATAACAGACCCGGCTCACTGACTGTGTGCCCACTTTGAAGACTTACAAAAGAGGGCCTCAGAACTGTTTGGCTTGCTGGCTCACAGTGTCTGGCCCAGTGTCACAACAGAGAATCTCTTTCTGCTGGGTTGTCAGGCCTGGCTTTGGGACCTAGAAAGTGCCCCCTCTCCTCCCTGCCTATGCTGGGCACTGACAGACTGAGCCTACCATGTAGGGCTTGCTGTTCACCACGCCCTGCCCTAGCATAGATCTGACCCTGTGTGTGTTGCCCCCTGACTACATTGCCACTGCACAGCCTTGAAGTGCTCCCCAGACCCAGTGCTGATTTAAAGGGGATCCTGCCACATTGCTAAGGCCACAGCCAGTGCAGATCTGTCTACCCTGTGCTCGCTGGAGATCTCAGGCTTCTCGGACTCTCATGCCTCTGAGTCTCCATATCCTGGGCAGTATGTTTTCTGGATCTTTCTCATATCTGTCCCTTCCACTCCGTTCCTGATCTCGAGGGGAGCCGCCGCTCAGACTTTGTCCCTAATTCGCAGGTGTCAGAGCAAGGGACTTCTAAAGTGCCTGCTTGAAGCTACACCCTTCCCAAGGACCTCCACACAAGGGTTTACTCCTTTCCCCTCTGGCCCCAAGATCAGGTGATTCCCAGATGAGCTCACTCTTCTACAGCACTTCCCATCCCTATGGACCCTTTCAAGCCCCCAGCAGCCTTCCTCCTTGACCTCCTACAGTGTTACTCTGGGTCCAAACCCAGTTCTGGGCTACCTCTTGACCCCTCCCCATGGTTTGGTGGCATCTCTTGAATTCCATACTGTTATTGGATTTGTTCTGTACTTTGACCTCCCAGCTCAAGAAGAGCCTCAGGGAAGGGACAAGAGCAGGGATGATGCTGGCCCCTGAGAATTCTGGTCACATCTACAATTTGCTAAGCCAGACTCTGTCTGCATTGTCTTGTGTACTCTTCTTTGGGAGGGGCTCAGAGAGGTTGTGTGTTTTGCCCAAAGTCTAACAGCTTGCTACTGATAGAGCTCTACAATGAGAAGGTCATTAGTAAACTCCATCTTGACCCTCCGTGAGCCTGTTTACTGCCCTGGCCTCAGGGCCTAGCACAATGCCTACTACAATAGGTAGCCAGTAAATATTATATTAAAGAAATTACAACCTAGGGTTAGGAACGCAGTTCAGCAGGAGAGCTCTTGCCTAGCAAGTACAAGGCCTGAATTCCAATATCCTTGTTGTTGTTTGTTTGTTTTTTGAGACAGGGCCTCTCCACGTAGTCCTGGCTGTCCAGGAACTCACTGTGTAGACTAGGCTGGCCTTGAACTCAAATAGATCCACCTGCCTCTGCCTCCTAAGTGCTAGGGATAAAAGCTACCATATCCTGCTTTCAATATCATTGGGCCTTTGTGGCCTCCTCCATGTCCCGTCCTGAAGATGGTGACAGAGGCCAGTACCTGGGTCCAGTGGTTCTCAAGCTGTCCCATGGGATGTACCTGGGCTTAGCACCTGCCACCTCCACTGCAGTGGGCAGACAGTCTCTCATCTGTCTTGAACTTTGCATTTCTCACTTATTGATGAGGACTCCTGGTTAGAACTGACAAGTATCCAACTTGAAATGACCCTGAGGAAACCATGCATTCGCTCATGAAACTAGGAAATCCAAAGGTCATGCCGGCTCCAGATAGAAGAGATTCAAGAACTGGGAGTGGATTGGTTTCTTTCTTTTCTACTATGAAACAGCATCTCCCGTGTTTGGGGAGTGAAGCAGAAAGAGATGGCACCTGTCTCAGAGAGTCCCACCTCAGCCAGCCACCATCTCTGCATCCTCCCTGGGGCAGGTATGAGAAGGTATTCTTATTCATCCTGCTGAGGTCACATGCACACATGGTCATGTTGCCATGTTCAGGTAGATGGGGCACCATCTTTGTCAGGCTTATCTGAGTGCAGAAGGGCAGTAAGGAGGTAGAGCACCCTGAGTGATGGCCCTGTAGGAGACAAAGCAAGATATCTCTTTGTGAGACAAAAGGAACAGGAAGGGTTCCTGCGCAGAACGCCGCAGCTGTGCCCTCGCCATTGTGCAGGGCCAGAGTCTTGAGGGTCTGACTCACCAGGAAACCGCATCCACAGACATGAAGGACCCCTCAGCCTGCAGCATGCCAGTCTTCCATAGGCTTCAGAAGCAGGTAGTGCACTGGGCTGAGCATAGGATCTCATGCAGAGATGGAATCCCAGCAGCCCACAGACTTCAATGCCTCTTGCCCTTGCAGCCTGGTGTGAGAGCAGAGGCCCAGGAGGAGCAAGAGCTCCGACATTTGCGCTGGTTCCAGCTCTGTGTCCCATGCAGGTGCCTTCCCTTCCTAAAGCTCAGCTTTCCTCCCTTAGGCTGAGTTATGTGTTTTTTTTAATATTTATTTATTTATTATGTATACAATATTCTGTCTGTGTGTATGCGTGCAGGCCAGAAGAGGGCACCAGACCTCATTACAGATGGTTGTGAGCCACCATGTGGTTGCCGGGAATTGAACTCAGGACCTTTGGAAGAGCAGGCAATGCTCTTAACCACTGAGCCAACTCTCCAGCCCTGAGTTATGTGTTTTAAGCTTCTCCTGGACTCCTGGTATTCTGGGCTTGCTGCTGAGGCTGCTATCTGCACCTCACCCACACACACACTCATGCATCCTTGCATATACCATACACATCTCTTTGCCTGGCTGCTGTGTCCAGTCCACAGCAGGCAAGATGACTCTTGATGTAGAGATGCGGTCATAGCTGATTTCCCAAGCGGAGATGCGTGGATTCCGTGTTTACCAGCGAAACCCAGCAGATCTGCAAAAACCACACCCTGAGGAGGGGGTGGAGGGCGGGCAGCGGGCAGCTGAGCCTGCCCCCAATGACTCATCCCAAGGTGGGTTGGTGGGGCCCTGCCCAGGCCCCAGGGAAGTAGGGCCACAGGGGCAGGGTAGAGCGTCAAAGGGCATCATCCCACTCTTGGATGGCTACCTACCTCTCCACTAGGGTGGAGCCATAGTTGTCTTTCCCAGATTGGAGCAGGCCCTCCGGAAGTGGCAGCTCTGGGTCTCAAGGGAGCTTCCAACCTCCCTGGGCAGACAGGGAAAAGGAGTCTACAGACACAGACAGAGCTTGGAACAAAACAGTCTGCTAGTGCAATTCCCTTCTGCCTTACAGAAACCAGCAACCCTGCCCCAAGTGAAAGGGAACTGACCCAGGATACCAAGCACAGGGCAGGCAGCTTTGGCATGAAGTGTAGGCATGCGGTAGAGGCCTCTGGGCAAGGGAGTAGCTGGTTGAACACATCTGCACATGAACACACTAATACATGGGTTGTATTCAGCCTGCCCCCGCTCTGAGTTCCAGAAAGACACAGCCTTGATTATCAACATAGAAATGACAGACAGGAAGGTAGAGCCCTCAGCCTAAGAGCATGCGCCTCTCCTAACAATGTAGGGGGAGGACGAACACCTGAACTAAGAGAAAAGGAGCCTTTTGCACAGCAAAATACACAGCTGCACAGTTGAATAGCTCAAGGCAGTGGGTCTGGACCTTCATGAGGGGCGGAAGGTCTGCCGGCGCTAAAAGCAGGACAGCGCTGCAGCCTGGACAGCAGAGAGGGAATCAGTGCTCCCGCTCAGCCTCTGTCCCATCTCACCTTCCTCCAAAGGTCTGAAACAACATGCGCCATGACACTCTGCAACTACGTCCTGGGTTTTCCCCTTCTGGTCATGTTTTTAATTAATTTTTTTAGATGTAATTTGCATACCATAAAATTTGTCCTTTTAAAGTATGACTCAGTGGTTTTCAGTATAGTCACCAGCTTATGTAACTATCCCCACTAATTCAGAACATTCTCATCATCACCCCAGACACGTCATGTGTGTTAGCAGTCACCCCCACTTCTCCAATCCCACGACTACTACTCTTGCTTTCTGCCCCTGTGGATTAATTTATAGTAGACATTTTGTACAAGTGTAACCATATAGCAAGTGGCCTTACCGTATCTTGAGGCCCATCCGTGCTGGAGCATGGGTGAGTGCATTCCTTTTATGGTGAAGTGATATTCTAGTGTGTGAATGGACGACATTTTATTCATCCATTTAATAGTTTGAATTGTTGAATCATTTGGATCACTTCCACATCTGGGCTGATGATTAATGCTTCTGTGGACATTCATGTTCAGGTGTTTGTAAGCACACAGGCTTTCAGTCTTGAGGATACACCCATGAGTGGAATTTCTTGAGTGTATGGTAACTCTGGGAATTTAACTTTTTTCTTTTTTCTTCAAAGAACTCCCAGAGGCCGGGAGGTGGTGGTGCATGCCTTTAATCCCAGCACTCGGGAGGCAGAGGCAGGTGGATCACTGTGAGTTCGAGGCCAACCTGGTCTACAGAGCAAGTTCCATGACAGCCAGGGCCACACAGAAAAACCCTGTCTCAAAAAACTAAACAACCAAAAAAAGAACTCCCAGACTTCACATCCCTAACAACCTCTCAGCAACATGTGCAAGAGAGAGGAGAAAAGGTGTCATTCATTCCCCGGGCTGAAGGACACTAGCCTATGCTCAGGGAAGCAGCAGAGGGTACTTCCCCTCAAGAATCAGATATGCGTTTGTTCATTCTGTCAACCATGTTACGCACCTATTCTGTGTCGAGCATTTGGTTAGATGCTGGGGTTTGGTGAAGCGTGACAGGTGGCTATGCCCCAAGGAGCCAGGGTTCTAGTGATTCGGAGCTAGTAATGGCAAACTTGGTTCCTTAATCAGTGTAGAATAAACACTACCAGCAGAAGCTTGTACAGTGAGCATAAAGATTGCAGCCGTCTTGAGAAGCCAGGAGAGGCTGCACTGAGACGCTGCTATCTGAGAGGCCCTGGGCAGCAGGGCACCTGGCTTGTTAGAAAAGCTGAAATGAGTGTGGTTAAAATATGCTGAGAGAACAGGATTTAAAAACACGACAGAAATGGGGTGAGGCCCAGATAAGACCTAATGAAAGGCGGAGGGCTTTGTTCTAACTACCAAGGGACACCACAAAGAGCCCTGATCGTGGAGGGATTGGCATAATTTACATATTCTAAAGACTGCTGTGGCCGCTGGAGTGAAGGCAAGAGTAAGGCAGGAGGACCAGCAAGTAGGTCACTCAAGGAAGATGTGAGGATGGCCTGGACCAGAGGAGGACGTAGGAGGCATGGATCAAGCCTCTTGAGGTGATGGAAGAAGTGTCCTTGAGGATAAATGGCAGTAAAGAACAAAGAACAAAGAAAAGATGCTCTCTGGGACCTTGGGGCTCACGGGCACAGGGAAGAGACGGGAAACTGGGAGGCCACTTTAGACATACTGGATTTGGGGTTGCTGTGAGCATCCCAGTGGAGAGGTAAGGGAGCAGCCTTCTCACTTAGAATTCCTGCCACCTTTGCTGTTCCAAATACAAAAGACCAGCGGCAAATACAGATGTGCTGGCAAGGGGATAAGAACATGCTACCTTGGGACCTACCAGGACAACTATGCCAAAGTGGCTTGGGAAGGTCATACCACGGCAGAGGAGGTGGACAGGCCCTTGGTGGCCACTATTCCCTGACACCTCTCTGAGCCCTGGCATCAGCCCCGTGATGTGCTATTGGCAGCCCAGACTCAGTGCTCCACAGCTGGCGTCCCATCTCTCTCCGGTGGTCCCTGCCACCCCAGCAGCCCCACTACAGTCCACTACAGTCACAGAACGACAATGAGGGCCGGCAGCAGGAGGTCTCTGTCACCATTGCTGCAGAGGAGCCATGCTGGGCCTGGCAGATCTGGGCCAAGATTCCTCTGGCTTAGCCAAGGCCCCTGGGAGGCCCCAGGCTGCGGTCCACATTCATCTGCTCACGTCAAGCCTTGGTGCTGACGTGCTCTTTCACAAGGGACAGGGAATCTGGCAGGAATACACAGCTGCAGCTTTAGAGAGGGACTTGGCCATTCTTTCCTCGCTCCTCCTTGGAGGTATAACCAAAGGGCAAGATGGGTCTAGGATCTGCCTAGTGTTGAACTTTATAACTTGCAGACATGGTCACTGCACTGTGTCTCTTCTCTTAGTTCTCTGTCCCTTTCTTAGTTTTCTGGGTCTCTGTGACCCAGAAGTGGAGCAAACGCCAGTTCAAAGCTTTCTCTCTCTGGCCAGCATGTGGGTCCCAGCTGGGTTTGTGGTGGAGCCCTGAGGAGCCCTCCGTAGGGGTGGGTGGGGCCTGAGATGCCAACTCTGCAACAGGGATGGGGTGGAGGGGAAGGCGGGAGCTGGCCCTACCCGCTGAATTTTATCTGCGAGCTCCTGCAGACATATACAGAGGCTGTGCTGTGTGTACACTCCAGTCCCCCACGCTCCATCTGTCTCCCTACATGTCTAAACACTGAGGGTGCCAAGCGCCTGCCTGCTCCATCCTCCTCCTCTCGCCTCCTCCCTATTGCCGATGGGAGCAATGGAGGCTGACACCCCAGAGGAGATAAGGGTAGCCAAGGTGGAGTGAGACACTTCAGTCGGGGACCACCGCTGGGCAGGAGTCGGAGACCCTGAGAGCCCCAGAGCAGGGACTCCTCCCAGTGTCCCATCCTGGAAAGTCAGTGTGGAGGGTGCCTTACAAAAGAGGTTTTTGCATTTAAAGCCAGCTTTCTGGACACTGTCCCCTGATAAGGGAGCAGTACATTCATTCTTTTCATTGTTTCAGACAAGCCTGATCCATCAGGTTGGCAACCTGAGAGCCCAGCCTTTCTCCCCACAGCTATTCCCTGCTCCCATCCCTCTCCGGCTACATCGCCCTGAAGTTCAAGATTTATAGTTTAGGCTGTCAAAGGTCTGGAAGGCTCCCGCCACAGGCAACAGCTGACAAAGAGGGGAACAAGAGGGAGACACCGAACATTTCTAGAGACAAGACATGGCAGCCTTTATAACATCCCAGGCCTGGGAACAAGAAGGAAGAGCGTGGAAGCCCAGTTCCTCCTGCTCCCCATATACACAGCCACCTTCTTGGAGCTCAGAAAATGACAGCATCTGGAAGGTGCCATTTCCCTGAGTTCCCGGGTCCACAATAAGAGTCTGAGCAGAGCAATGGATACAGGTTCTCCCTCCTAAGCCAATTCTCACACCAACATCTAGTCCTATGGTGGAGCTCCCCAGGAGGGAGACAGGGGTGGGGCAGAGGTCAGGTCTTCCTCCAATGGAGAAGTTCTTTCTTTCTCTTCCACCCCTCCAAAACAGTGAGAAACCGGTTGCCTGGCTTTTGTAGGTCTTCCAAGAGTGTGAATGCAGAGTCACACTGGGTGGACAGTCCAGCGTGGCTTCCCGTTTGCCTTGTTGCCTGCTAAGAGATCTCCCCTAGATCTTCCCTGCCCAGGTGCAGATCCTAGTGATGTGAAAAAACATGAAGGAAGTGACCCCTGGGCCTCGCGGTGGTCTCAGTGGGTCACTAGCCCGTGTCTCTCGTATCTCCAGTGAGCACCACTCTGTCGTCGTGGTCGGGACATGCCCGGAAGTGCAACGAGACGGCCAAGTCCTACTGTGTGAATGGAGGTGTGTGCTACTACATCGAGGGCATCAACCAGCTCTCCTGCAAGTAAGTGACCTGCAGGGGTGGGCACAGGGCCGAGAGCAGGGGAGGAGATGTCGGGGCAGAAGTGGAGGGCTCTAGAAAAAGTGAGCTTCCAGCTACTTGGAAATGATCCCCAAGGGGCACAGGCAGGGTGGTTTATCCACTTTCGGGTCCTTTCTGGACTCTGGAAATATGTGAGTTCTAAGGGTGCATGGACTCCTGCAGACCCAGTTTCCTAGGCTCTCAATGCCCTGTCTCCCGATGTCCATCTCTTACCACCCTGCAGGGAGGTGGGGGTACCCATCTAAAGCACTGGGTGTTTTCTCTCTCTCTCTCTCTCTCTCTCTCTCTCTCTCTCTCTCTCTCTCTCTCTCTCTTTCTCCTTTTTCCCCACCATTTTGTCTTTCTTCCCCATCTCTAAGCAACTCTCCAAATTTGTCCTGGGTGAGCATGTCCCAACTGCATCTTCTTCTGTAGAAAGAAGCCTGGAAGAGTAAGGCAGGAGACAGGCTGTAGAGCCCTTGGTACCTGCAGATCCCACTTGTGTTATCTAGGGGAAATAAGGGTCTCCCCAGATCCCAGTGCCGGCCTCAGATCTGGCTGTTCTTCCTGTCCCGGTGACCCCCAGTGGCCAGTCCTGCCCTGAGAACTGCTTGTGCCATTTTAACCCATTCAAATCTCTATGGAAGGTAGGGACTTCAGCAAGGACGCCACCATGGGAGTGGCTCAATGGAGAAGGTGAGGGTGGCACCAGCAGGAATCCAAGGAGCTCAGAGCCCCACTATCCAGGCAGCACTCAGGATAAGTGTGAATGAGGCCGCCAGGAAGTCCCCGCGGGTCTTCTGGGCGATCCTCCTGCATGTGCTTGGAGAGCAACACAAACGTGATGAGCAAAACTCTGGCCATATCTTAAGAAGGAACAGGAAGGGGGTCTGGTCAACAACTTGGATTTCTCAAAACAGCCAGTGCCAAGGGTCCCAGACTAGGTGCCAAAGCTGCCCCATTCCCATGGCATCTGGACAAAGGCCACCAAAGTATTGCTAGTTCAGAAAGAGGGTTTCAACCTCCCGATAGAACTCCAGGTTCTCCTGCCTCTGACTCCCAGGCCAGATCTTGACCTTTCTAAGAATATGACCCTGGAGAAGAGGCTGGGACTTTTAAAGAACCCTCTACAGCTGATAGGGTCCCAGTGTCCCTGTCTCCTCCCACTCTCCCATGGGACAAGAGAGCTTGGTGGCACTGCCAGACAGAACTGTGGGCCTGGCCCCAGCTGGCCTCCTCACTGACTTCCTCCATGGTCCCCCCTTCACCTGCTGTCACCCCCTCTCCACCCTCCTTCCTCCTGAACCCCTCAGGGAAGTTCCAAGAGCAACAAAAGGTTCTCCAGGGAAGTTCAAGGCCTGGCCTTGGCTTCTAAGAGGCAGCCATAACCGCAGTTCAGGCCCAGGGAAACATCCCAGCCTTACAAAAGCTCTGAGCTCTTTGGAACAGACTATAGAGACTCACAAAGTTCCCAGCATGCCTCACAGAGACGTCCCAGCCCTGACTCCCCTTCCCCTCTACCACACCAGGCCTTCCTCTTCCCTAACCCTTGGACCCCTGACCCTCCAAAGAATCCAGCATTGTCACTGAAGTTAGCCCTGGCTGCAGGCAGGGAAGGCTCTGCACCCCAAGACAGGCACAAGGACACCTACTTTGGTAGGTCCCCAGAACCCAGGTTCCAGGATGGAGTGCAGTGTAAGAAAGGGAAGGAGAAGACGATGGCTCCCAGGGGAACCTACCAACACGACTGTGCCCGCAGGAGCCAGGGAATAGGCCCTGCTACATTTGAAGGAGCAGGGAGAGGCATCCGAGCCTTAATGAACACGAGGGTGCCCTGTTTCCTTCCCCACCCAGGCCAACTGGGTCTCAAATGTGATAATGGCACCCAGAGCCACTACTTCCATCTTTGCCCCTCTGGGTCAGCCCCAGTCAAGGCTCCATAACCCACTTCCCTGAACCCCTTTGTCACATGCAAGGGACATCCCTGGCTGGGCCTGCAGTCTTGGAGCTGTGCTGGAGAAGGGCAGGGGGGAGGGGGCCGGGCAGAGCCCAGAGGCCATTCTGAGGGTGGGGAACTGGGTGGGAAGGGGGGCAGGCCTCTTGGGGTTTCTGATATCACCTGGATGGAGAACAAAGGAAAGACTTTAGGAAATGGGACTCACGTCTACCATTTGTGCTGTTTGTTTACTTTTTATTTTGATTTTTTTGCATTTCCGCTTAGCTTGGATAATGAAACTACACTGGTCAGTTTCATTCCAGTTTCTATAAAACTCAGTTTTCCTTCCTGGTTTTCTTACACTTGTTGCTGTGTATTGGTTCAGAGCCCCCCAGGGAGTGTTGGAAAGCAGGCAGGCACACTCCGTAACCCTCTTGTTTTTTCTGGAAGTCAGTGCCAAAAGAAACAATGTCACTGATATTGAATTTTGTTTTCAAAAAGAAAACTTAAGGGGACTTGAAAATGGGGGTCTAAATCAAGGTGACTGTCCCGTCTGGGCCAGACAGGGACCTCCACACTTCCTCTTGCCGTTTTCTCCTCTTCTCTCCGTGTGTTTGTTGAGCACGGTTGGTGCGTGACTCTTGGGGACTGGTTCAGGGGATGATGACAGAACAAGACTCTCTTTCCAGCCCTGTGCACATACCAGTGGCATGCCTCCCTCTCCCATCAGCTCATCTCCCCCTCCCCGGCTTCCCCACCCCATCCCACCCCATCTGCCTGCTCATCCTCACCACATCTCCACCCGCCCTCGTGAGCTCCGAGACCCTGGCTCCCTCCAGCGCCTGGGGCACGGCCTCATCCTTCATCCTTCCTTCCCCAGGTGAGGGCAGCACACATGGCATTATCCCCAGGCTACCAAAAGGAGAAACTGAGGCCCGGGAGGTGGGTGGGGAACGGGGACAGCAGAGGTCCTGACCTCTCTGCCACCCCAGATGCAGCCCATGGGCTCTCCTCTCTGCCCTTCTCTTGCCCCTGCTCTTCTCCAGCCCCTGGGTTCAGACCTTCTCAGAGCCAGAGCTGATGCCTGTAGGAAGGTCTAGGAAGGCTTGGCCTGCCGCCCCTTCCAGCCCACCCCGTTTCCCTGAACTGCACAGGGTCATCCCTGTTTGAGTGGGAGCCACTAGCCAGTCACCAGCCACTCGCACCCAGTACAGACTCCTACCGTGCTGATAAGGGGAAGCAGCTGGCTCCTGCTACCCTGGTCTGGCTGCAGGGCAGGAAGGTCAAAGGCCCTGCTCACACCTAGAACCTTCTCTAAAGAAGCTTGAGTCTCCACACACAGAACTACAGAGAGGAGTAGGAGTATCCAGGAGCCCCTAAAGGAGCTAGTGCCCCCAAAGGATAGCACTGGCTATCAGTCCTTCCCCACCCTGACCACCCTATCCCCCCAAGGCCTTTTCTTAATCCAGCAAGGAGGAGCACCCATCTCACAGACAGGTGCAAGGCTAGCACCAGAACACTGCACAAATACCATAGCACATTCGTGTTGTGGACCAGTCAATGGTGCCACTGGAATTGTGCAGACAGACTAGTCCAGGCTGAGTATGGGACAGGGACACAGGGGTGTGTTTATAGTTATCACTGGTCTCCAAGACTCATGGGACAGCAGCCCTGATGTCAAATAAGTTCCTCTTTGTCCCTTTCTGCCCCTGCACCCCACTGTTCTTGCACACACACACGCGTGCGCACACACACACACACACACACACATTTGTATACACTGATTTCCCTGGCAGACAATGAACATAGTCAAGTCTAGTTACTTTTGTTTTTGTTACTTTGTAGAATCCAAGAGTCATTTTGGCAACTTCTGGGTCTCTATCCTTTACTCCCAAAGGTGATTCCGTTTGAAAAAGAATCACTTAGCCCGCTTCTAATCCCATTCCCCACACAGTGGGCCCAGGAGCAAAGGAAGCAGAGCTGAGCCTGGCTGTGGTCAGTTGGGAAGCCTCAGCCACTTCCTCCATCTCCCTGGGCTAAAATGACTAGGGACAAGTGTCAGGGATCAGAGGGATGGAAGAGGGGCTCCTCCCCTAAGCCACCCTATTCAACAGGGTAAACGTGCATTGCTGTTGCCCAGCCCTCATAGTTGGACTTCCCAGCCAGACCTCCAAGTGACCAGGCACATGGGCACCCATGCTTCACCACTACAATGTCCAGCTCTCCCTCCTTCCCTAACCCGGGGAGATACCACAGGCCCAAAGACAGTCTGGCTTTGTGTCCGCCTGCCACTCCCATTCCCCATTCCTCCAGATTAGAGGCCACAGAGTTGTCATGAGTATCTGTCATAGCCAATGGCTAGCATCTACCCTAAGGCCAAGGGCCCTCTTGTTAGGTACAGTAGAAGGCTAAGGCAGAGAATCCTTGCCTCCTGAGGAAGTCTAGGCTGACTAAGGTTGCACAGTAACCTGGTACTGAGGGGTTACTGCTGATGGAGTCTCCCTAGCTCCTAGGGGAATGCAGAGCAGGGTGACAGAGACCTGTTTCTGAAGAGAGACATGCACAAGGGTCAGTACAGCCCTGTCTGTGGGTTTCTCCCTAGGTAACTGGCCTTCCTGGGGTTCAGGAGCGAGTACAGGACTGGGCATGTCTCCTAGAAATATATGAAACTGGGACTTGCTTAAGGGGAGAGGTGGCAGCCAGAGAACAGAAGGAAGTGTACCTTGCAGGCATGACAAGGTCAGGAAGAAGGGGGTGGATGGGTGGTGTCTTGGAGTGGCAAGGAAGTCAAGCTGCAAAGAGATCTAGGCCAAAGCCAGGCCACAGTGGAAGAACAGATCTCAAGGAAAGGGCAGGCGAGCCCCAGCTAGCTTCTAGCCAGCTGCTGTACAGAACAGACCTCCAGGGTTCCCCCGTTAGGCTGCTCCGACCTCCCCCCACACCAGGTAGCCTTGACACACTGGCAATCGCGCCTCTCTCCAGCTTCCCCTTCCCCCACATCTACTGCTTTAAGGCAACTTCTCCAAACTGTGCCCAGCAAGGGTTCCCCTAAAAAGTGCCTTCTGTTCCAGGCCAGTCAGAGCTCCAGCACGAGACCTTGTCTCCAAATACATAAACAAAGCTTCCTTAGTCAAATAAGTTTGTGGAGTTCAGTTATTATCTCTTAAAAAGCTTTTCACGACCCTTCCTATGCTAACGGAGACTACAGGAGCCCTGGGGGATGGATTTCCCACACATATTGGCACACACATCCCTCTTTGAGAGAACAGATCAAATACCTCCTAAGTCCCTTTGGTCATGAGCACACAGTGTGAGAACAGCCTAGCAGAATTCTACTTTGAGTTTTCTGGGAGCTGTTCCATAGAGGAGGAAACCTGCCCACAGTCCCAGAGAGGATCCTTCAGCAGAGCCTCGAGGAGTGACACCAGGAATTTGTATCCCATAAGTCTGGCTGCCTGGCACCCTGAGGCTACAGTTCTGGCTTCCTGGGGCACCAGGCAGGTAAGAAGGAAAATTCCCCAACCAGTAGGATAGTTAGTTAGTCAATAACCCCCCCACCTTCCCCCACCCAACTTCCCTAACTCATCCTCCTCCCTGACCCACCCCACCCGCCCCATCCCCAACAGAGCCACATGGATTAGAGCGTTTGTTAGAGAGGACAGAGCCCTCCACCCAGCCCCTGACTCCAGCCCCTTCAGCTACTAGTGTGACCCCAAGTGCCTGACTTGGTTTTCTCATTCATCACTGCGCACTTTGATTTCTAACCTTAGCCTCGTGGATGATGCCAGTTTGTTCTGTGATTTTTCCCCTTTTCCTTCTCCAGATGTCCAAACGGATTCTTCGGACAGAGATGTTTGGAGAAACTGCCTTTGCGATTGTACATGCCAGATCCTAAGCAAAGTATGTTTGAAGATACAAACACAAGTCCCCGCTCCTTAGAAAGCGCCGGGTGCAGTCCCCAGTGCAGGGCGTAGGGTCAGGGGTGTTGGTTGTTTTGATCTCCGGCTGTTATGTTTTGTTTCTCTTTTCTTTTTTGTACTTTGGTTTGTTAGTTCTTTTGTTTTGTTTTTGTTTTGCTTTGTTTTTCATTTTTTGGCCTAATCCTTGGGTTTAAAGTTCAGGGCTACAGGTAAGGGGCAGAGCGACAAGGCCAGGACAAATGGTAACCGTGGCGAGGAACCTAGCTGGCATTGGCAGGAGCCTGTGCCGGGGTGTTGCAATGCCTGTGTCTTGCTATCCTGGCTCTCTCTTTCTGGTTTTCTTTCTTTTGGTAGGTGTCCTGTGGGATACACCGGGGCCAGGTGTCAGCAGTTCGCAATGGTCAACTTCTCCAGTATGTTTCTTTCTTCTATTTCTTTTCTTCCCTGGTGACTGGCAGTCTCCCCATGTGGGAGGGATGGGGACCTTACTTATCAAGACTTGGAGGGAACAGGGGTGTCCTGAGCTCCTCTCAGTCCTCAGTGCTTACCAGTAGCCTCTGCAGAGGAGAAGATACACCCCTGTCTCCCCGCCCACCCCCATAAGTCACCTGTATCACCTGAGAGTTGTAAAGCTGAACTCTCTGCAGCAGCAGGGCCATGTCCAGGCCTCTCCTCTCTTCTGGGATCAGGCAGCCTGCCAGATGGGGGAAGAGGCATTTGCAGGGCCCTCCCTTACCTCTGGTGCCAGGCTGCTGATGGGCCAGGCAGTGAGTGTGTGCATGTTTCTACGGGTAGGCTTGAGAGATTAGAAAAGGTTTCAAACACCTGTCTTCTGGTCTGGCCAAAATGGTTGGGGTTCTAGGACCAAGACGGAGGGCATAGTGGAAGAGGGCAGCCCTAGCAATGGTTCCCATGGATGCCAGAGACATTTGTATGGTTACAGGAGGAAGTGAACTGGGGGCTGCCGCAGATGCTAACGGACTCAAGGGGAATCTGGTGACTCTTCCCAAAACCTGTCTAGTCTGAACACTATCCAGGATCCCATCTCCTTTCTTTCTTCCACACCGGGAGAAATCTGGCTACAATAGTGGCTTGTTTTCCTTGGCGCCCAGGAGCAGTTCCTTCAGGCACCACCAGGGGGGGGTGGATGGAGCAATTAGCCTCTGGAGAGTTCCAGACTTGGTTTGGATCCCTGTGGTCTGTTGGCCTTCAAGACCACAGCCATGTTACCCATCCTATTCTGCAGAGCAGACTAGTACCCTCTTTTTAGGGAGGACATCTAGGTCCTGCGAACAGTAAGGAACCAGAGAACCCAGATGATATTTGAGTGTTGGGAAGGAAAACTCCATAAAAATACCAAAAGGGAAACCCAGGAGCTATTAGGCAGCATGTCAGAAAAAGAGTTTTAGAGTTCAGGTCTCAGGGTGGAAAAGCAAAGCTCACAGTTGTCCTCAGACCCCAGACAAAGCCCAGACATCTATCTACTGCCTTTATAAGGAACATTTGGGCCCCAGAAGGTGAGGGCTGTTGATCCAGAGAGTCACCTCTGTCTATAACTTGAGACAGACAGTGTTCTCTTCAGACCCTCTAGTCACAGGCCACGGGGAAGAGGGGATAAAGGCAGAATGTGTGAGCAAGACGTGTAGGCCAAAAGAATTCGCTAAAACTCAAGCTCTGGGAGAATTTCAAAATCAGATACAGCCCATGTGGAGAGCTCTGGGGCAGGGGAAGAGGCTTCTAAGGCTCCAGGAGACGCCAGAGCAGACAGGCAAGGGTGGGCCTGCTGAGAGAGGCACTGGGGGGCCAGTTCCTTTCCGTCCTTGGCTAAGAGCCTCCACAGCTTGGGAAATTGTTCTGGACGGCAGTCCCAGCCAGCCCTAGCTCAGAGAGCAGCAGAGCCTCCAGATTGTGGGCTACTATGCAAAGCCCCTTGGCCAGCTACATCACGTCAGCCTAGCCTGTATCTTCTGGGAAAGTCAACAGGACCCTCAGATCCCAAAAGAAAGCTGCAGCTGCGATCCCCAGCTTCCTGCCTGTATCATCAGTACCACACAGGGGCCTTTATGTGGAAGATTCCTGTTCTTCAAACATGTTCCCTGAAGGCCTTTATGATGCTTTAGTTCATAACGAGCACAAAGCATCCACCATCCTGTGCCCCCTGAAGCCCTCAGCTGCCCATCCAGAAGGACCGGTACCTAGATCCCTCGTCCTGGGCCTTATTTAAGTGTTCTGGATTTGTTCTCTCGTCTCTAGACTGAGGATAGGGACATCTAGGCCTGGACGGCAGCAGTGAGAATGAAATGAACTGATGCACCTGAGGGGCTCATCTGAGAGCCTGCCTTTATCACCTGAGGGCACTGTAGTATCCTCCCAGCTGTAGACGGCGGGGAGGAGGGCAGGAAGAGGATGCCTCCCTGCATTGCTGAGCAAAGCGTCTGACCCTGCCACCTACCCAGACCACCTCAAAACCAGGCAAGATTTTGACCCCAGTAGCACTTTGAAGCTTCTCCCACTACAGGCCGCGCCCTCCTGAAAGGGAAAGCTGGCCCATCTGTATCCCACATGTGTATGACCACACTCACACACATGCAAACACAGGAGCACATGCTCACATCAGCACATACATCACTGTCTCCTCCTCCAGGCACCTTATGACTGCCATTGGTTATGTCCGAGACAATAAATTCGCATATTTCCTAAGAAGCCTGGCCCTGGTGGAAATCTGACATCCAATTTACTAGTCAATATGAACATTTCTGGCCTGAAGCTCGGTGGTACCACACCATCCTGGCTGAGTGCCATGCAAAAAAAACCACGAGTAGGTGATTGCTCTCCTAACTGCCACAGACACAACTGTAGATCCCTCAGCACCTGCCCTTGACCTAGTGACTGGCCAAACTCTCAGTGGCTTCACCAATCATGCCAGCCGCCACTGGCTCACCTTACTATGACACCAGGGAGCTGCTGTTGACACAGTTTGATTCCCAGAGCAGTGACCTGGAAGAACGTTCTCAGAGGGCTTTGAGAGATTTGCTTGCTTCTCCAGGTGGCCATCATCCTCAGGAATAGTCAGGCAAGGCTGAGCAGGAATAGTCATAGCTTAGACCCGTGATCCCTTTCAGTCACCCTCCTGATTTCCTGCATCACCTTGAGAAAGTACCATGGCACTACAGGGTACCGGCTGCCCCTTAGACTTCACCAACTTTGTCTGAAAGTGAGCTGAGGACCAGCACTTGGAACCTGCTGAAACTGGTCTGCTGTCCCTCGGGTAAGCATGGCAGGACATCAGTAACATGCTCCCAAGTGCCTCCAAGTCCTAGGCTCCAGGATGAGAACCTCTCTGTGACCCTTTGATCCAGCCAAAGAGGACCCTGAGCTACAATTAGGGCTCCAAGCAGTCAGGGCAAAACTGAAAAGAAACCAAATCCTCAGCACCTCCCCAGCTTCAGAGTGGCAGAACTGCAGAGGGCTTGTGTTTGAAGTGTTGGGATCGGCACTTCCTTGATGTGGCCTCAGCACAGAACTGGTTGGGTCAAAACCCCAGAATCTTCCTCAAGATTCTTGGGATCAGGACCTTCTTGGTCTTTGGCTCAGAGCCACCCACACTCCTGCTCTTTTCCAAATACAGAACCCTCTAGAATCCCTTTCAGAACGTACAAAGAAGTGGTGCGGATAATGCTCAGGGTGCCCTTCTTCCACAGAGGAGAAGCTCAGTGACAGGCCTGGGTGACTGATGTGGAAGTCAGTGAGGGAGTGTGCCCAGGCAGGTGTGAGCAGGGGTCCTGGCATACACATGTCTTAACCGCCTGTTGGCTAGGCCTGCTCACATCTGCCTCTGTATACTGGCACTTTGAAGAGAACACATCCACATAGCAAGTTAGAGACCCAGGTCTGTAGAACAGGACAGGCTGTGCCTGAAAAAGCAAGGCAAGTCTTTAAAACGTCACCAAGATTTCTGGGCTCCCACCCAGATCTCCTCCCATTGGACTGAATGGTTCTGAAGCACAGCCAGGTTTTCAGACCTTCCAGGATCCCCCCCCATCATAGCTGAGACGCTGAGATCAAATAGGTTGACCATCTCTCAGAGTCACGGACAATGGTGACTGTGACGGCCAGCGCTGACCCTTATTTAACCTCTCAATGTTGTAAGCATCCACCTTTCAAGGGCTTGAACTCACACATTCAGGTAATGACCTCACTTCCAACACTGTAATTTGTCCATAGTGTAAGGAGTGTGCTGCTCCACAGATGAACTCACTCTTTCTGTGCTCTCAGTTGGAGATGCTCTCCAGAGTAGTGAGAAGGGTTTGGGCACCACAGCCCAATCCTGGGAGCCCAGGTATATGGGATATCAAATGGAGCAATGACTTGCTTCTTGGGGTCTTCCCTATCCCCATTCTTCTCCCCTATGACATCAAAGCTCTGCACTCAGACTGCCAGGAGCTCTGCCAGGCCAGCTATGGGCTCGTCCAGAGACATGACACATTCATTTTGAACAGATGAAAAAGACCCCCAAGAATGAGATAGGGGTAAGGGCAAACTGACTTCAGGAGGGCCTGAGGATGCTGAAGGGTTGGAGTTAAGAGTCAGGAAGAGGGCATTGGGCACTCTTCCTTGAACCCCACCCAATTGGTCCTCTGCTCCTAGGGGACTTTGCCAACTGACTCTTGCACCTATGCCTTCTCACCAGGTACTAACTCCACTGCTCACCTCCAGGGACCCTTCCCTGCTTGTCAGTTCTAACATGGCCTCTCTCTTGCCTTCTTGGGGCTCTCAGGGACTAGGGACCAGGGAAGGAGCTCAAGAGGCCAGGAGGGGGCACTACTAACCTGCTTTCATCTCACAGGCTGGCTGCCCAGGTCTGAAGAGTTCTGACCAACGTTTTCTCTCTCTCTCTCTCTCTCCCACCCTCCCCTTCTCTCATCTCTCCCCTGCCCCTGCACTCTCTTCTGCACTGCCAGAGCACCTTGGATTTGAGTTAAAGGGTATGGCACCTGATCATCGCTCTGCATCATCGGCACAGCTCCCCCCTCCCCCTCCCCAGCCTCTGATGCCAGGATCGTGGAACTTTAAGCTTCCTTTCCTCCCAAATGGAAAGGAGGCGATTCCGAAAATTTCCCTGGCCTCACCAAGATGCCCTAGCATAAATCATGTTGATTTAGAGCCAGATAAGAAAATCTCATGAAGAGCAGGGTACCCTGCAGTTCAAACTGTGCCTGGTGCCCAGTTAGCACCTGCTGCAGGGGAGGAACCTGCAGGGACTAGCCCTCCCTAGCAGTACAGCCTGTCAGCAATCACACGGGACATGGCTACTCGAAGGGTCTGTAGACAGAAGAAACCTGGTTTGGGGAGCTATGCAGAGAGGCAACTTTTTCCATCTCACACTGGTCCTCTTTCCTTGCTAAATCCATTTCCACTGCTTCATGTTCTCTACACCAGGCTAGAAGCTGACAACGTCCCATTTGCTCCTGTCCCTGCTTTGTGGTCTGTCTGCCCCAGGCTCTGCCATCTGTTTGAGGCTTTCAGTTCTCTGTGACTGCCCCTCCAGTGGCATGTAGTGTGTATGTGTATCTGTGGGCAAGGCCACCTACCCTCCTTTCCCCTACCGCCCTCTCCAGAAACTTCCATGTAACTCCCTACATCCCCCACAGTCACACACTGCCCTTTAGCCTCTAGAATACTACCTGTGTGGAAGAGACTTTGAGGAGGAACATTTTAAGCTTTCTGGCTTGGTCTTCAGCCTAGGCCCAAGTGTCCTGGGATGTCACAGCAGCAGACACGCAGGGCTCAGGAGTGGTAGGAAGCTCTAGTAGTAGTGTGGGGACACCAGAAACAACAGATACGGAAAGGCAGCCCTGCGGAGGTCTTAGCTCCCCAAGCACCTGTCGGTTGCTCTCAGTGGAAGGCAAAGTCTGTATGTGAGTGTCTCTGTCTGGGTCTTGGGGAGGAGGGTGGAGGCTGGGTACACAGGAGTGAATCTGCAGGTATGTGTGAATGGATTCTGTTGGGATGGGAGAATGCTGATGTCTGGCTAGCAGTGTCTCAGGGCAGAAAGGCTGTGGAATGTCTGTGTTAAGCCCAGAGTATTTGGTGTTGAAACTGCCAGCAGGAGGAGGTGTAGGTGTGTGTCTGTCTGGGGCCAGGGAGGGGGGATGCACTCACTCATTTAACCAAAAAGCTCCACTCAACACCAGACCTTACCACATATAGCATCCCTACCCTCCTGGAACTGCATTCAGAGGAGACAGCAACAAATGGGAAACACTGTTGACAACTGACACAGAAAAAATAAATAATAAAAGAAAGTGAGCTCCGGGTTTGGCTAGGCTGCAGTAGAGAACTACTGTAACTTACGATCAAGAAAAGGTGTGTCCTACATGGTACCATCTGGCAGCCAGCCCTCCAAACACCTGGGGAAGAGTGGTGAAGGCTGGAACACAGTACATGTAGGCTTGCGTTACTCAGTGGACAGAGATGCTGCAGCTGACTCCAAGCACAACAGACCACAGACAAGATCCAAAAGGAATGTGAAACTAGGTAATCGGGGGCCTTGAAAATACAGGAAGCCCTTGATTTTTATGCTTGCAATGAGCAGCCATCGTGTTTCTAAGCAGCAGCAAACTGGAATGAGCTGCGTTATTGCTGGTACCTGCGGAGCATGGGGCTAAGTCAGGGTTAGAAGCACAAGCAGAAAGGCCTGCCAGAAGGTGGCTATCTTTAGTTGAGGGGGGCCCCCTCCTGGACTACAGAGGCAGTGGTGAAAATGCTCACTGGTCAGATCCATGCCTCACTTGAAAAGCAATGCTGAAATGACTTTTGGATGGACCAGGGAGGTGGGAAGAGAGGGAGGGGCAGGTAGAGAAGCCTTGCTAATGATATGGGCAGGCAGGTGTGGAGAAATCTAGGCTACTGGGGTTTCGACTGACTGTAGTTTGGCTGGTCATGGCTCATAGATATTGAGCCGAGAAGCAGGGAGAATCAGGGCAGGAGACGGTAATGGGGAATGCATACCCATAGGACTGAAAGTCTGTCTAGATGGTGCCAATAAAGAGTGGAGGAAAGAAAGAGGCCCGGGAGTCTTGGTTCGTTTGGCATGGGTTAAGAGAAAGAAGCAGCCATTGCAGAAAAGTCAAGCCACTGAGTTCACCACTAAAGTTCTGGGGCACCAGGCCAGGTACCAGGACTTGATAATGTGGAAGCTGTTTTGTTTTGTTTCGAGAAAGGGTTTCTCTGTGTAGCTACGGAGCCTGTCTTGAAACTTGCTCTGTAGACCAGGCTGGCCTCGAACTCACAGAGATCCGCCTCTGCCTCCCGAGTACGGGGATTAAAGGTGTGTGCCACCACAGTCCAGCCAGTGGAAGCTGTCTACAACCATGAGCAGAGTGGTCTCCAAGAAGTGATGGAGACATTGACTGGGGAGGCCTGGTAGATTAACAGAGTAAAGCTCAGTGGGCAGAGATTGGTTAAACTCTGGCTGAATGTAACTCAGTGTGCTTGGGCATGCATGTATACCCATTTCTGTAGCATGTGGTCAGTTGTGTGTGCAGATTCACATGTATGAGCGCCTGTGACTCCAGGAGCCATAGCTTAGATATGTGAGTGTCCGGAAGGTCTGTAGCTCTGAGGTTGCTGGTGTACACAGGAGGTAACATAAATCTGAGAGATCAGGGACAGTTCTCAGAGCTCTGCCAATCACGGAGGGCCTGCCTCTACTTATCACTGAACTGGTAGCAGAGAAGGTGGCAGTACCAGCCAGCAGGTCTGAGTAAGGTGGGCTCGCTGAGATATGGCCTGGGCTGTAGCCAGTGCTGTTGCCTTTTCCTTGTCTTCCTCCTGGCTTTCTCTGTTTTAGAGGGGCTGGGGTGGCCATACCAGGCACAGAGGGAATGCGAACAGTTTGGCTCAGCCTCACCCAGCTCGTTAGTGAAGGTGGGGCCTGCTCCTTGTGCACACAACATCCCTGCATGCTAGGTGGGGCTGTGCTGTCCCTGGTAGGCCTCTCCAGCAGACAACAAGGTCCAGTGAGCCAAGGCACTACCCTGACCAGACTGTGGGAATGGAGAAAGGCCTTTCTTTCCATACCCCCTCTAGGCCCAATATGCTGTGTTCCTGCTTCTGGCCTTAGCACCCCTCCTAAATCTGGGCCTGATGTCCTATCACCACCCCTTCTTAGGGAATCGGGGTGCCTGAGCAAGGCCTTTGCCCTGGGCCTCTGTCCATTGCCATGAGGAACAACCCTCTGCTGGGCCGCCATGAGCAGTGCAGGGGTGCTGGTCAAGGTGTTGCCTCCCCTCTACTGTGGCCTTGGAACTTCACCCCTACTCCATCCCCTCCTCCATCCCCTGCATTTCCCACTCATGTGCACTGGGCAGATATGGGACTTGGGGAGGGGTGACCAGGTGTAGGGGGAATCTGAGGGGAGTCAAGGAGAAGGGATGGCAGGAGGGGCCAGAGCCTGTGCTGAGGGCGCCCACAGCTTGGGAATAGGGAGGTCATATACAAGCATCTCCATGGGCTCTGTTCCTGCTCTGCCCCTGCAGAGGCTGAGGAGCTGTACCAGAAGAGAGTCCTGACAATTACTGGCATCTGTGTGGCTCTGCTGGTCGTGGGCATCGTCTGTGTGGTCGCCTACTGCAAGACCAAGTGAGTGTTACATGCTCAAGCCGAGAACAGGCCAAGCCAGGGGGTAGCCTCCAATATGTTTTTGTAAGAACAGAACTTTTTCCCTGTACCTACTCTGCCCAGCCTACAGCTTCCTGTTCCCAGTAGTCTCAGGGCCTCTGTGGCTGTAGCTCTACGGGACAGGCACAGGGAAAGTCTTGGTTCAAACCCAGCTCTCCTATCTCCCACAGGACCTGGAGCAATTGGGCTATCTCAGGGCAGGTCGGGGCAGCAGCTGGGAAAGCTGGGAAGTGTAGAAGAGGACAAACTGAAAGACAAGCCAGAGAGGGCAGCCCAGACTGCTCAGAGTAGAAAGGCAGGATCAGAAAGAGTGGGTAGAAACCAAAGATATCTGGGATTCAGGTGCCTCCATAAAACCTTGATGTGAGACTTCAGGTGGTGTGGAGCCAATGAAGGCAAGGCCGGGGTGGTGCAATATTTGTTTAGATCTGGAAAGTGAGCCTAGACAGTTACCATTTCAGAAGCTGAGTCCCTGGGTCTGGACTCCTGCTGCCCTACAGATGGGGCTGAAGGTCCTGCTGACCTCATCTTGGATGGAACCTGAACCAGAAAGGCAGGGAAGGAAGGAGGGGGTGGGACTGGGCCAAAGAAGTAGAGTCCGGGAACTGAAGAAAGAAGCGCCAGTTCTGACCGGCTGCATTTCCTCCTTACTGCTCTAAACTTTCAGGGGTGCTGACACTGGGCCCAGCCCCAGGAGCTTGAGCAGGCGCCAAGCAAGTGGCCCCAGGGCATGTTTGGCTTGGGACTTTTTGTTGCTGTTTGTTTGGAGGCAGGGTCTCACTACACAGCCCCGACTGCCCTGGGATCCACAGAGGTCCCCTTCTTCCACTACATCTTTGCCTCCAAGACATGTTTTTGAAGCCCCTATCCTCATTTGGAGAGCAGAAGGGCTTTCCCTATGAAGTGGCCTTCAGGCTAGGGCCTAAGGAGAGAAGACACAAACCGGTGGAGAGGCTGGAGTGTAGGGCAGAATGCTGCCCAGGATCCAATGCTGGCTGTCCCAGGAAGCAGCAAGCTGGGTGGAGGGAGGCAGCAAGAGGCAAGCCTGGGGCGAAAAATGGGATACTGACAGCAGGGAGAATTAGAGCCATAGGAGTGATAATTACAGTTGTATATGATAAAATAGTTTTCTGAGCATTTATTATGTATCAGTATATGGGAGTCCTACTGGCCTGGCTCCTGAATCATAGCGTTCTGTTTTATCTTCTTTATAAAACTTCCCTGGAAGTGACCATTCATTTACGTGTTATTTACTCTCCATCTCCCCTCCTGGCCCCAGGCTGCATGAAGCACAGACCATGTTTACCTCATCTGTTCCAAAGCAGAATCTGGAACACAGTAAAAACCCAATAAACAATTACTAAACAGATGAGGGAGGGAGGGGCTAGCGCGGTGCGAGAGTCATTTATGGGCTTTCTGTGGTCAGTGGTCTTTGGGATGGTAAGGGGTTCTACATTACAGATGGAGGCAGAAAAATATCTTCATTTAAAAAAAAGAAAAATATCTTTATGAACCCCAGAACTTTGCCACACAATACAAAGCAATGGGGTTATGTGCATTGCCCAATCTCCCTGGAAGGACAGCCAGGGAATTCCGTCCCTTTGGGGGAGCCATGCTAGGCTCACCTATCCTTTCCCTACATAGAAAACAGCGGAGACAGATGCATAACCATCTCCGGCAGAACATGTGTCCAGCCCACCAGAACCGGAGCCTGGCCAACGGGCCCAGCCACCCTCGGCTGGACCCTGAGGAGATCCAGATGGCTGATGTGAGTGGTGTTCCCAGACCTGCCCCCCTCTTAGCTCGCTGGATAGCAACCTTCTCTGGCTAGAAGCATGGGCCAGGGCAGTCCTGTGTGTCGGGCACCAACTTACCAAGGACCTGGCTTCACTCTGCTCATTTCCATAAGGAAGAATGGGGGCAGGGGATTGGTTGTAGGGGCCATCACTGATCCACCATCAAGTCACATCTCACTCAGGGGGTCACCCTTTAACCTAGAGCTTGGTGCTCATCACTTGCCTCCCCCCCCCGCCCCCCATGAAGGGAGCCTATCTAGTCTCCATCGCTAACTCCTCCAACTTTCTGTCCATTCCAGTACATCTCCAAAAATGTGCCCACCACAGACCACGTGATCCGGAGGGAAACTGAGACCACATTCTCTGGGAGCCACTCCTGCTCACCTTCTCACCACTGCTCCACAGCCACGCCCACCTCCAGCCACAGGTGAGTAGCAGCAGGGCCCACAGAATCCTGCTGATTCCTGTACTTTGTCATTCAATCGTCCACAGCTAGTTGATATCTCCTCGTGTGTTTGCATACCGATCACAGTCCACCTGACTCTCCAGTACTGGGGCAACCTGCCCGCACACGCACAATAGTTCCTACAGCTAGAAAAATAACAAGGCTGGTCCCTCCTTCCATGGAGAGCTCCATGCAATAGTCAGAGCCTTTGCATACTGGCCTCTGAGGCTGGGATCCTGAGGAATGGCTAAAGAACATGGGGGTGGCAGTGTCCCAGCTGGGGATGTTAGTGGCAGGAGCAAAGGAAGGAGCCTCTACACATGGCAACTCACCAACCACAGGATCCCAGTCTTCCTTCTCCCATGATCAGGGTTGAGCATCTGCGAAACTCCACATCACCCCAGAGTAGAGAGGACAGGGATCTAAGGGAGCCACAGAGGAGCTGAAGAACTAAGAGCAGGGTGGCTATGGGACCTCACACCTGCACTAGAACAGCTTGCCCTTCCTGACCTATCAGCTCACTCTATCTGGTTTTCCCAGACATGAGAGCCACACGTGGAGCCTGGAACGTTCGGAGAGCCTGACCTCGGATTCCCAGTCAGGCATCATGCTGTCGTCAGTGGGCACCAGCAAGTGCAACAGCCCAGCCTGTGTGGAGGCACGAGCGCGGAGGGCAGCGGCCTACAGCCAGGAGGAGCGGCGCAGGGCTGCCATGCCACCCTACCACGACTCCATAGACTCCCTGCGTGACTCTCCGCACAGTGAGAGGTCAGTTTCTACTACCCCTTGACTGAACCCCACCTTGGCTAGAAAGTTGTCACTCCCAGCCCAAAGCTGACCCTTAGGGTGCCTCAGAGGCATCGCCAAGAGCCTCAAACAAGGTCCCAGAAAGGTTAGGGGGTCTCCTGGGATTAGAACTATATCTAGCTCAGTGGATCCTGGCTGGAGTGACCACATAGTTTATCCTATCAGGGAACGTTAACAACCACGCTGAAGCATCAGGGACAAAGAGGGTTGTTCCATACACCCAGGACCCAAGGTTGTCTGGTTCCCAGTATCACCTCAGCAGAAACAGAAAGACGCCAAGACCAAGGAAATTAGAAGCTAGGAAAAGCGGTTATTTTCAAGGGTTCTCACCAGAGGGCAAGGACATAAGCCAAGAGTGATCTCGGACTGTTAGCATCAGCACCCCAAAGGCATGGCTGGGATCCTGAGAAGCCCATGAACTAAGGACCAGGATGTTTCTTTTTCCCTGAGGCTGGCAAGGGTGCTCAGTGGCAAATAAGCTTTCCCACCAAGCCTGGCAGTCTAAGTCTAATTCCTAGAGTCCACAAGGTGGAAGGAGAGTACCAACTCCCACAAGTTGTCCTCTGACCTCCAGACACACTCTGTGGCACACGTTTTCACACACACACACACACACACACACACACACACACACACACACACAGAGGAAATTCCCTTCTTCCCTGACTCCACACCAGGAGTCCTGGGAACGAGGCCCCACCCTAATGGGCTTTGCAGTGGCTGTCAGGCAAGCAAGGTCTGTGAGAGGAAAGCAGAGGAGGGTACACCACGGCAGGGGAGGCTCAGGATGGAGGGCAATTCTACCTCTTCCTGACTCAAATGACTCTATGCCAGGCCTGGGCTAGTGAAGCATCCCCAGAGCTGACCTACCTGCTCTTATTCCGAGCGAGGGACAAGCCACAACTCCTGAGCAGTTTTTACAGGTCCTAAGCACAGACACCACCCCAGGGCAGAGAAGCCCACTCCAACTACTGATTCCAAGAAGCACCCAGATTCTTCTCTCCAAGCCCAGCCCTCCGCCTCAAAATTTGTTCCTTCTGTGTAGATAGGAGGGAACAACACCTGCTATACATGGGACTGATAAAGGACCTTGCCTCCTTCACACCTGTCTCTGTTGTCTTCCGTGGTAACCCTGGCCCTAGGTGGGTGGGAAGACCCTCGGCAGGGAGATGGGAGAGGAACGTTTTTTCAGACGTGGTGTACCCTGCAGCTGTTCTAACGGAAACACTTAAGAGTGCGCAGGGTGAGTGAGAGAAGTCACGGAGCTCAGCAGGCAGGCTGGGGACACACATACACCAAGGGCCCTTGGCTTCTGCTCGCTTGGGAGGTAGAGCATCCTTAGCAGAGCTGAGGTTGGATTTGTTCAGTTGGCTTGGTTTTGATTGGAAGGGAGGGGGGTGTTTTGTTTTGTTTGCTCTGGGAACTTCCTAGAGTAAAGAGACCCCAAGGTGGTGGCATGACTGGAGAGTGTGTCTCAGGAGAGGAGTGGGTAGCACCCAGCAGTTAAATAGTTCTGTGTGAGCCGGGCGGTGGTGGCGCACGCCTTTAATCCCAGCACTCGGGAGGCAGAGGCAGGCGGATCTCTGTGAGTTCGAGACCAGCCTGGTCTACAAGAGCTAGTTCCAGGACAGGCTCCAAAACCATAGAGAAACCCTGTCTCGAAAAACCAAAAGAAAAAAAAAATAGTTCTGTGTGTAGGAAAGGGAAGTGCGCAGGCAACTGATTCCTGATCCCGTAAGAGAGTAGGAAGGACACTAAGCCAGTTCCAGAGGCAGTCAGGAACATGGAATGCAGTTTGGAAGAAAGGCATGGCCAGGAGTGATTCCTGTAATGGAGTATGGATAATGGTGGAGGCTGAAGGCTCACAAGGTGGATTGTGAAGAGCAAAACCCGATGTTCCAGGCTCCACGGGTGGCTCTGACCTCTGGGAAAACCAGACAGGAGTGAGGTGATAGGTCAGGAAGGGCAAGCTGTCCTAGTGCAGGTGTGTGGTCCCGTAGCCACCCTGGAGATCTATTAGCAAAAGCAAACTTTTCAAGGAAGTAAGGGGAATAGAGACCCGTCTTATCTTGGTATTATCTGCTCGGGCTTGAGGAGCCCACCCCGGTGTCACTTCCCTGTAGCAGCTTTTGGGATTTCCCTCTCTCACTAAGCCATGCCTTGGGCTAAGCCATTCGTGCTAGGGCGATTGAGCTCAAACCCAAGGAGCCTCTGAATGATGGTTCCTCAAAGTAGCCTTACTAGTTTCTGCCTAAACCGCATTCAAATCCCAGGAATAGGTACCCAGGATTCACACTAGGAGGTATTAGCAAAAAACGTCGTGGACCTGGGAGTCATTGGCTCCAAGAAGAGACACCTAGTGGTGTCTTGGTGAAATGGGGAGGAGGGAGTCAGTTGATTCAGAAAGAACAGATCGGGTCACATTTTGGTCATTACGTCCTTGACACTTAAATGTCTGAGTCTCTTTTTCCTGTGTGTAGTATGGCCCTCACCTGCAGAGTCTCCAGAACAGATGAGACCACATATAAAACGCCCCAAGGTGAGCGTGCCCCGGAGAATGAGCATCCCCACAGCAAATGACCACTTACGGATGCTTAGTGAAGGGCAGACACTGGGCTAGGGTACTACCCGAGTACATTTCTGAAATCGCCCAGCCTCACTCCGGAATAAACACTATAGTTATCTATGCAGGCTGAGAGAGATCACGGAAACTGAACGAGGTCAGAGCCACAGCCTTCACTCTTAGGACTGGGTCCTTTCTGGCCCTACAACCAGATTACCCGACCCACGCTCTGTTTCTCCCGCAGGTACGTGTCGGCCCTGACCACGCCCGCGCGCCTCTCGCCCGTGGACTTCCACTACTCGCTGGCCACGCAGGTGCCGACCTTCGAGATCACGTCGCCCAACTCTGCGCACGCCGTGTCGCTGCCGCCCGCCGCGCCCATCAGCTACCGCCTGGCGGAGCAGCAGCCGCTCCTGCGGCACCCGGCGCCGCCGGGCCCTGGGCCGGGGTCCGGCGCGGACATGCAGCGCAGCTACGACAGCTACTACTACCCCGCGGCGGGGCCCGGACCGCGGCGCAGCGCCTGCGCGCTGGGCGGCAGCTTGGGCAGCCTGCCCGCCAGCCCCTTCCGCATCCCGGAGGACGACGAGTACGAGACCACGCAGGAGTGCGCGCCCCCGCCGCCGCCGCGGCCGCGCACGCGCGGCGCGTCCCGCAGGACGTCAGCGGGGCCGCGGCGCTGGCGGCGCTCGCGTCTCAACGGGCTGGCGGCGCAGCGCGCACGCGCGGCGCGGGACTCGCTGTCGTTGAGCAGCGGCTCGGGCTGCGGCTCGGTGTCGGCCTCGGACGACGAGGAGGACGACGCGGACGGGGCGCTGGCGGCCGAGAGCACGCCTTTCCTCGGCCTGCGGGCGGCGCACGACGCGCTGCGCTCGGACTCGCCGCCGCTGTGTCCGGCGGCCGACAGCAGGACTTACTACTCCCTGGACAGCCACAGCACGCGCGCCAGCAGCAGACACAGCCGTGGGCCGCCCACGAGGGCCAAGCAGGACTCGGGGCCCCTCTAGGCGTCCCCGCCTCGCCCGCCCCACGTCTCCAAGGAGAGCGGAGACCACCGACTGGAGAGGGAATAGGAGCGAACAAAGAAATAAAAATATTTTTATTTTCTATAAAAAGGAAAAAAGTATAACAAAATGTTTTATTTTCATTTTAGCAAAAAATTGTCTTATAATACTAGCTAACGGCAAAGACGTTTTTATAGGGAAACTATTTATATGTAACATCCTGATTTACAGCTTCGGAAAAAAAAAAAGAAACAACAAAAAAAAAGAGAGATGGGCCAATTTTTTGACTCTTTAATAGAAACCTATATTGTGGTGCCTTTTGCTGTATGCTAATCTGGGGCTCCTGGAGAGTCGTCTGGGGTGCAGGGTGGGGATGGGCGCTTGTAGGATCCCAAACCGGTGAGGGTGAGAAAAGGCAGGGAAAGGAGACCGAGGTTCTACTGGCCCTGAGGGTAGTGGACAGTGAGGAAGAAAATGGAGACAAGGCAGAATTTGATCTTCCCCTGTTCAGATCTGGAATCTCGGGCAGAGAGGGCAGGGATCCTTGCCTAGAGCTGAAATTGAGGTCGGGTTACTTCGAGGGGGAGACATAGCCCTCCAACTACAGCAACTAGAATGGGGAGGGGTCCTCCCCTCTCCTCAAGGCTGCTAAGGGAAAGAGGACGGAGAAGGCGGTCTCCCCACCAGCCCCCGGCCTAGGGAGGGGCAGCACTACCAGGGGCCCAACCTTCATAGCTCCTCCTCCTGCGGCCTCCAGGGTACTCTGTCCTCTGCAGCATCTTCGTTTACAGGTCGTCTTTTCTATTTTACGCCTGCATGTCCTTTGCATTTCAGACTCTTTGGATTGAATGCATGGTCACGCTGGGACCCAGAAGAGCCACTCCGACAGTGTATTCGATTCCCCTTTTAGCAATAAAGTAACGCCATGTCCTTCTCACAGCCCAGCTCCCAACCCACCTATGACTTCATCCTCCAATCCTGCCCTCCCCTACCCTCACAACTGGATCCAATGCTAATTTGTCAAAAAAGGCAATTGTCTAAAAAGGAAACAAACAAACAAAGTCCCAAACAGGAACAGATGGGAACCCTGACATGTCCAAACACCTGACTGTTGACACTTGAACATTTTTATATTATAAATAAAATCAGAAATAACTCCTGTTTGACTGTGTGTACCTGGCCCAGCTGAGGAGGGAAGACAGAAGGAGGATCTGGGCCCTGTGGGTACTGGAATAGATTGGAGAGGGCCAGGGCAGTCCCTGAGCGGAAGTGCCCCTCTCTCCAGTCCCGCTGGTCCCAGTTCCAAGGACCTGTTCCAAGTCTTCCTTCCAAATCATTTATAAGGTGTCGCCCCTGGGTGCTGGGGAACCCAGCCAAGGGACTGACGCAAATTGTTCTGCTTTAAACTCAGCCTCAGAACTCTGGCCCAGTCCCTGCCCTGGAGCTAGGAGGCTGGACTGAGGCAACAGTTTCCCACCCAGGTGGGTGAAAAGGGGTTGTGGGGTTGGCACTGGGGCAGCGGAGACAAAGATGACCCTTGGGGCCTCAGACACGTCACAGGCAGAGTCTGGACATGTAAGACAGCATAAAGGATACCCTCATTGCCAGAAGGACCACAGCAGCTGTGCTTCTAAGCCCACAGGGTATTGCTCTTTCCCCAATTTTATACCCCCTCAGAGCCAGGGCCTGTCTAAACCTGCAGCTCTGATGAAGGTCTGAACTCAGGCGTGGAGGAGGCAGATAGAGTCCGGGGTGAAGAGTCTTTCTCGTCAGCCACCTAGAATACCAGAAACCAAGATTCCAGCCTCCTGGACCTGAAGCCTCCTCTCCAAAGAGCTGGGGTGAATGTGTACATATTTCTGTATGCGTATGTGCGTCCTTGAATGTCACACTAACAGAGTAGCGGGACAGAAAGGCACAGAGCAACAAGGACCGAATCTGAGTGCCAGTTTGGCCCTCGCTAGCTCTGTGCTTTCTCCAACCCACAATTTGCTTAGTGAGAGATGAGGAAGACACTGTATACCTCAGCGAGCTGCTGTGGAGGTCACGTGCAGATGGGCCAGCACCGCTCCTGAGAGACTGTCTAGAAGATAGCTACCTTGATGGTGGTGGGGACAGAATCCTGAGCCTTGCAACCTTGAATCACAAAGTGGCAAAAACTCAATGTCTAAACTTAAAAATTCATCATTATATTTGTTGGTGGGTGCTGAAGAGGGCACTTTTTACAAAGGAAAAAATTAAGGGAAAATTACTGGGCTGAATGTTAAACCTGTAGATCATGAACATCTTCCAGACCCCAGCCAGTGACTGCTTTAGACCCCTCTGCTATCTGTCTGCCGTTGCCTTGATAGCTTTCTTAGGGCGGTAATCCTTACGTACGACCTCTGATCTCTGTATGACCCCAGGTTAATGGCTATGACCAAGAGTCCACCGATCAGATCTTAGTGCGATCCAGGTTAGAGCCCACACTTACGCTCTGTGAGGGCTCTCAGTCGTTGCCTTCTCGGTTTTCATTCAGAAACCACCGCTGTGACTCAAATGAACTCTCCTATCTGTATACGACCCCGGTTGACTTAGTGAACTTGTACCTGACCCCATTTTGCTCCTTTATCATCTGCCCTGTATTCTAAGGTACCTGCCAGAGTCCAAGGATAGAACCTAACCTAGCTCCTCGGCTCTCTCCTCATTACATCAGCCACCTACTCCCTGGATGTGTCTGGTTGGGACTCAGGAGCACGCTTGACCAGAGAGACCCTCTTGCCCACCCTGACTCTCAGGTTTCAGCCTTGGGGAAAACTTGAGTGTGTGGCCTTTCAGGAAGCATTGCAATCACTTCAAGAAACTTCCCTTCCACTACCCTGTCCCCTGGAACACTCAGGACATTCAGGCAGCTTCGTAGGTCAAAATTCTCTTCCCTGCTCCCCAAATTATTTTCTTTTTAGTATCACATTTAGTGTCTTTCCCCAGCCTCTCTCAGAGTCCCCAATGGCAATGATAACCACTTCTCCCCAAGACCCCCCATATCTGTGAGACCCATGGAGCCAGGGAGTGGACCTCCTTCACCACCATCCCAGCACCCAGCAACAATCTATGCCACATGGTTGCCCCTCACTGAAGAGGCTGAAGGCTGTCTGTCAAGAGTTAGCAACTAGGAGTTCCTAAGCCCTGAGCAAATAACCAGGACCTCTATATGGAGAAAACCGCTTACTCCATTTTGTCAGGCCCTGGGTTTGACTAGTTCTCCTGGGCATGTTAGGAGCCATGGTTAGGGAAGAGGAACATGATGGTCTATTAGAATGCAGGAAAAATATTAGAACTTTGATTAGATTTATTTTCATCTCATCTTTTTTTAAATTTCTATTTTTGTGTATGTTTTATAATGTACATAATATTTTAGTACAGTAGTACATGTATATAATTTACAAATAAAGAATTATACAATTAAGGAAGTAAGAAATGTCTTTACTGGTGGGAGGCACGACTAGTGCTTGGGGAACCGCACGCACGCGTGTCTGTGGCTAGTGAGCTTGCACCTCCGCTGTCATCCCCCACCCCCATGACATAGAGGGTGGGACCCTGGCCTGAAAATCAAAGGACCTTCAGGCAGCTGCACAAAGAACTGAGACCTCTTTACTGCCCCTAAATCGCCTTTCCAATCCCATTCAAATGAGCGTTTACTTCCCCTGAGCAAAACAAAGGGGCCAGATGGTCTGGTTATAATACACACTTCAGCTAATCCAATTTAAACAATTTGGATTTAAACCCCCTATGCCTCTCCACGTACTTACAGCTCCCCACATCCAATGGGAGTGGACCTTCAGACGCTTGTGTCACCAAAGAGGTCAAACTGTTGGCCAAACAATAGGAAAGGCTGGCTCACAGTAGCTGCGTCAAGAGGGCCATCCCCCAACTCACTTGTTGGTCTAAGTGAAAGATGTCAACCCGTGATGGACACGCGCCTCTATTCTCAGCTATGTCCTTAGCTAGGCTTTTCTCATTCACTAAAAAAATGACAAGAACATGAGTAATTAAGAACTTGCCACTCCACCTTCTCCCCAAGACCATGAATTGAGAGCTTCTCCACCTCACTCTATCACTCCAGACCTTGTGGCCTTCACAAGAGGACCCAAGCAAACAGAGGCGTGCTCCTGAGCCATCACCCCACAAGGACACCCTTGGGACAGGGGAGGTGACACGTGTATGCTGTGTAGTCCAAAAGCATCAACCAGAAAAGTACCCGAGAGTCACAAGTCAGCTGGAAGAGGAAAAGGGCTTCTTCTTCCCGTCCAGAGTGTCAGGGCAGCAAAGGGCCCCATAGCAGGCTGCCTTGCTCGCTGGCCCAGCTCTGAGACGAGCTTGTTCCTTCGTCTGGGTTCATCCTCTAATTGGTAGTAGTTCTCAAACCTTCCTTAAATGAGTTCTTTACATACATACATATACATATTATATATGTTTGTGTCCATATAAAAAAGAGGCAGGAGAGGCCTCAGAGTGGATAAAAGGAGAGGTGGATACACACACAAGTGGAATCAGTTTGGCACTGAGTAGAGGTTAGGCCTCAGATTATTGCAATATGAGGCAGGAGAACTGGACCGGTTGCAAAGGTTGCTGGGAAAAGGAAAGGAGAAGGCGTTGCTGGTGGTCCGTAGACCTGCTGCTGGTCAACTGAGAGGAAAGAGGAGAAAGGGTAGGTATCCAAGCTGAGACCCCAAGTTCAGACTCATCCTCACAAACACAAGATGAAGGAGCGGCCTGATGAGAAGGGGCCTGGGGAAGCAACAGTGACTAACTTCTCCAGATGGCAGCCCTAGAGCGAGTCTGACCTGCAAAGCAAGGCCCCATGACTTGAGGGCAGCCAGGGCTAGGAGAGGAGCTAGGCCGGAGATCGCCTAGGATACAGAAGATCAGCGCCATGAAATGCCATCTTCTTGACCACAAGGCTCTCCATATCCCTCTGGTTGCCAGTTTTAACTGCCTGATGCTTGGTCCAAGCAGCCTCCGACTGGAATTGTGCTCACTGACCCCCTCTGGGGACATTTGCCTGGTCTCCAGGGCCTGCACAGCCACACCAGCTAAGAATCAGACGCAGAGGCATCCTTTGTGGCTTTGCTGCCAGTCACAAGCCCGTGCCCCAGGCTGAGGGCGGGGCTTGAGTGTGTCTTCCGGAGAGCTGGGTCATCCCCTTCTAGAGTAGCCAGACGGGCCTCGATCCTCTCCAGGTCATCTGAACCCACTTTGATTTTCACGGACAAGAGGTGGATATAGGTCTCATAACGGCTTTTCTGGGAAAAGGGCAGACAAAAGCCAAGAGCAAAGTCAAAAGAGAGGCAACAAAACGGAGATGGGGGAGCCATCTTGGAAAACTAGCAGCCTAGCACTGCCCTCTTCAGCATGCAGAGAGCTCTTGCAATCGATGAAAGGGAAATGGACTATCCAATAAAAAACAGGCAGAATACACACACACACACACACACACACACACAAACGTAGATCTCACTATGTATCGCTGGCTATCCTTATTATTGTCAGGCCCCCATCATGCCCAGCTTCTCACTTACACCTTGAAAATCCAAATAATATCAATAATTTCGTAGATATAACATGAAAGACGTGGGCAATAAAGGCACAAATGGACAAATGGGACCGCATTGCTATTTAAAACGTCTGTGCTTTGAAGGATAAGGAATCATATTTAATGAGTCTGCAGATCAGTACAACGTGAAGAAATGCTATTGAGCTACACACTGAAAAGCAATCAAGATGGTGCAATTTATTCTGTGTTGCCCCAATTAAAACTTTAAAATTTTGGGAGCTGAAGGGAATGGCTTGGCGGTTAAGAGAGCTTGCTGCTCATGCAGAGGACCCGAGTTCAGTTCCCAGCATCCATATTAGGCAGATCACAACAACCTGCAACTCTAGCATCAGGGGCTCTGATACTCTCCCTTGGCCTTCACAGGCATCAGCAAACAAGTGTACAGAATGCACACAGGCACACATAAATAAAAAAAAAAGTATTTTTAATTAATAATGTAAAATTAAATGAAAATAATAATGAGGCAATGATTGTTAAACTTGTGAGATCAAGGAAGATGAAAACATCTCCAAATGCCCAGTGTTGGGAATGGATGTGTTCATAAACACTTAAAAGAGAGGTA